AAAAAAAAAAAAAGTTTAAAAAAAAAAGGCAAATTCAAACACAGAGACTTTACTTCTAGAAATGCAGCCTGAGAAAAGAATTGGGGTTGTATCAAAAGGGCAGTATTGTTTGCATAGCAAAACAACAAGGAAACAAACTAAATGTTTCTAAATGGGGATTTGCATAATAATCTGTATAGCATGGTAATTATTCAAAATGCCTATACAACTATTCAAAATGGTCATATAAAATATATGTTACTTGACACAGATAGGAACTGAAAGTATATTTCAGGTTTAAAAAGCATTTGGTAAAATGCTGTCAATTGAGTGACCATATTTTAAAACTGTATCAACATAGAAAATAGCAAATTTGTGGATAATGGATTCTGGGTTTTTAAGTAAATCCCTCTTGTACTGCTCTGTTGTTTTAAAAAATTCTATTATAAACATGCATTGTTTGTATGATTGGCAGGTAGGGAGATAAATAGCTAATGAAGAGATCAATGATAGAACATGATTATATATGTACATATTTTTTATCCCCTTTCTTCAAGAAGTTTGCATCAAGAAAAAAAATTTTTTTAAAAAAACAAACATGTTTGCATTATTGAAGGTTGGTATCAAATAATGTTTGTAGGCATTTGGAAACAGGAAAAATCCATTTTTGCCTGAGAGTTATTATGAAAATTTTGAATATCAAATGGTACTTGAGATGTACATTAAAGAATGATATGAAAGGGAAAAGTTGTTCCAGGAGGAAGGGGTAATGTAGTGTTGAGGAAAAGCAAAGTGTTTTCAGAGGTTAGTAATGGACCCGTTTGGCTCTATTAGTGGCCTCCTGTATGATCATAATGTGAAATGGCTAAGAATGTAGGCTCTGGAGTTAAACTGTCCTCATTTGACTTTGGTTTTTATGACTTAATAACTATGTGACTTCTAGTGCCTTGCCGGATGACATTTAGTAGGTACTGAGTAGGCATTAGTTGATGGAAAAAAGTACATGAATGCCAGATGCAGTGGTTCTGTGGATTTGGAGGGTGAAGAAAAATATTTTCTTTTTTTAAAATATTTTATTTATTTATTTGACAAAGAGAGAGAGACAGCAAGAGCAGGAACACAAGCAGAGGGAGTGGGAGAGGGAGAAGCAGGCTTCCTGCCGAGCAGGGAGCCCGATGTGGGGCTCGATTCCAGGACTCTGGGATCATGACCTGAGCCAAAGGCAGATGCTTAACAACTGAGCCATCGAGGTGCCCCAATAAATATTTTTTCGATATTTGACTTTTACCAGGTCCTTTCCTAGGAAATGGATAAAGATGAATCCGATATGGCTTATTATCTCGAGACACTTCTAGCTGTGTTGAGGAGTGACTTATAAAAGACACTTAGACAAATTGACAGGTTTCTCCAGAAAATTCCAAGAGATAAAGAATTTATACTTGGATATGCACTTATGATAAAGCAGTCTGGCAATCAGTATTGGGAGCATTAAAAGTTATGACCTTTGAGATAGCAATTCTTCTCATAAGAGCATACCCTAAGAAAGTAATCAGAATACGTACAAGTATTTTATATATAAAATGGTGATTTTGACTCAATTAGTGTACAAAAGAAGAAATATACAACAATGGGGTATTAGTAAAATAAATCGTTTCAAATTTTTATGATGGAGTATTACACCACAAAAATCCTGCTTTCTAGGATGTGCATAATGGTACAGAAAAGGTAAGTGATAAAGAATGAATGGGACATATATAAAATGTGATTCTATTTTTATTATAAAACTGGCAATGCAATGCATAGAGAAGAAATGGAAAGAAAAACAAATGCTCAAAAAGGAAATCTCTGGGTGCTAGGACTACATGTAACTTTTATTACTTTTTATTTTCAACATATATCTTTGTTGGAATAATAAAATATGTGCTTTCTAAAAGAATTTCTAAGCATAAATGTAGCATATCTTTTCGTTCCTTGAGAGAACTAATGATGTCAATGGCATTATTCATGAAGTTAAAAAAAGCACTTCATTTAAATTACAGGCTTCTTGCAGCAACTATGAGAAACCAGCTACAGGTGGAAAACCCTGTCCCAAGATCCACAAACCGGTGTGTGGTTCTGACGGGCAAACTTACCGCAATGGCTGTGAATTCTGCAAAGCAGCTATGTAAGCACGTGGAAGCAGCTTCTAGGAATGCACATTTAGTTTGGGCCAGTGGGGTATGGGCTTGGGAAAGTACTGGTTAAACCTTTACTGTTCTAAGTATTGTACAGATAACTCTTAATTAGAATAAAACAATGTAATTATCCCCAAAGAGAGAGACCTAGAAAACCGAAGTGCCCTCTCCCAATTCATCCAGTCTGGGCTGAACCCATTTCCACTACATTTCATTCTGAGCACCATCTTTTCTTTCAGGAAAAAAAATGGAAAGCTTGGTTTCAAACACAATGGGAAATGTTGACTCCTTGGACACTGCAAGGCTAGAGGTGCGCTCCATTTGTCATTTGCATCAGAAGATTTGGTCCCTGTTACTCAATATCTTTTGTGGGGTATTTCCCACCTGTTATCATGCATAAAAGACAACAGTTTCAATGAAGGTACCTTGGCAGACTTTGGACATTGATGTTATTTTTGGATCACAGTGGAGCCACCTATTTGATTTAGTTAGACCACCTGAGTCTGAAATGATACCACTTGAAAACAAACACAGGGCTTAGAGTATTACTACACTTTTCAAACCCAGAATTCACCCATCAGTGCTTTGAATCTCAGTTCTTCAGACTTATGCAGATGAACTCAAGGTTAACAAAACTCGGTCCAAGAAAATATATATTATCTGACCCAAATTAGCATTCTTTAGTATATAGTGTAGTGATGGAAGTATTTTGCCCTAAGAGACACACTGAGTGTGTGTGTTTTAGAGCTTCTCAGCTTGTATGCAGAGACAAGAAACAAGTACCACATGAGACAGACTGTGGGTCCCTTCAGTCATCGAAGCAGCTGAATAGGTTCAGGAACAGCTGAAGCCTGTAGGATAGTTGTTTCGGGCTTTATCGGTTTTATCAGCTTTATCAGTTAACTACCTGTACTACATAAAATACGGTAAGCTTCTATGTGTGGTAAATTGTGAAAAACTTTGGAAGTATAGGTTTATTGGCATGTTGTAGGTGCTTAGAAATCTAAAGATGGACAGACAAGCTTGGCATCTTCAGTGTGTTTACTGACTACTTGGAGAGACAAATGTATCCCAACTTACTAAAATGTAGTTTGATATGCTCCTGTTTTTTAGAAAATCCCAATGAATGAAGTATTCCATTTATTAATTGCTTAAATAATTTTTCAATGCTTATGAGATACCAACTACCACTCCAAGAATGGGGTGAAGATCTCTACTACAAAGCATCATGCTTTAAGATTTAAGTGGGTGCACAGAATATATTTTAAAAATATATTTTCAGGGGGTGCCTGAGTTGGTTGAGCATCCGACTCTTGATTTTGGCTCAGGTCATGATCTCCGGGGGGTGAGATCAAGTCCTGTGGTGGACTCTACCCTGGGCGTGGAGCCTGCTTAGGATTCTCTCTCTCCCTCTCCTTCTGACCCTCCCCCAGCCCTCCCTCCACCTCGAGCATGTGCATGTTCTCTTTCTCTCTCTAAAAAAAAAAGGATAAAAATATTTTTTCAGTTATCAATAAATTTATAAAGGAAATCAAATTAAGACATAAGATGCAGAAAAGTGGGTACAGTTTAGAGAAAGGAATTATTTGAAACTGGTTACTTTGAACTCAATCCTGAGGGCTTAAGTGTATTCAGTCCCATGTAAATTTGGAGAAAGAGTAGTACAAGGAAAGAGAAGGACAAACATGAAAACAACACAATCCAAAAAATAAAAATAAAAAAGAATAATAATAATTTAAGAAATAACAACACACAATTCAAAAATCAAAACTTGGAAATGGAAATAAGTTTGGGCATGATCAAGGATGAAAGGAATTGGTTCATAAAGAGCCTTGGGAGCCAAGCTAAAGCAATTCATATCCTAAGAATTATAGGAAATTGTTGCAATGCATTAATAGAAAACTTCATTGCCGGGATGGCATTTTTAGCTGATCTATGACAGATAAGATATTTGCTGGGTTGAAAAGAATGGAATATGTAAGTGATGGATCACTAAATTCTACACCTGAAATCAATTTTACCATACATGTTAACTAGCTAGAATTTAAATAAAAACTTGAAAAAAAAAACCTCTTTATCAGCATTAAGGTGAATCATCATGCTATACCTGTACCAGGCAGATTAATGGGGCACTTCATGTATAAAGATAGCTTTAAAACATGAGTTTCTTGTGAAAGAAGTATTTTTGAAGTACAAGCAGGAAGGATTTTCCAACAGTCTTTTTTTCAGGGTAATGTTGCATACAAACTGAAGATTGCCTCTTATATTGAATTGCATAATGAAAAATCAGTTTAATGGTTGACAAACATTGACATTCAAATAAAGATGTTGCTGGTATTTTGAAAGAAAGAAAGAAAAAGAAGGAAGGAAGGAAGGAAGAAAAAGAAAGAAAGAGAAAGAAAAAAGAAAGGAAGGAAAGGGGGGAAAGCAGAAGAAAAAATTCAGAAACATTGTGAAAAATGACATCTTTGAGAAGGTTGTTTCCAAAGTCTCAAATTGAGTATGTGGAAAAACCAAGATCAGCACTCAGAGAATACCGGTATCACATACTTTTCAGCATACTGTTGCTAAAGCAGAGGTCTCCAACAAATGGCAAACAAGCTGGATATGGCTTCAGGATTTTCTTAGCCCACACACAGTCACTTCTTTTCATAGATGTCAACATTTGAAAACTGAAGAAGTGCACATAAAAAAAATGGATTTCTAGAAACTCTGGAAAAGTAAGAGGATCTACTGATGAGGTACCCATGTCCCTTAGTAACAACAATGGTTAACTTCTGACTCCTTTGGATGAGTCCTTCTCACAGGGTCCCAGGACTCATTCTCATTAGCTCCTGGCTCCTGATGGCATATGAGCTCTGTATCTCACTTTAAGGCACAACAGCTTCGAGCACCTCATCGAGTACTCTTGGTTTTGGAAAATTCACAACCTAAAGAAGCAGCCCATTCTGTCAATACAGAACAATTTCTTTTGTTTTGTTTTGTTTTTTTAAGATTTTATTATTATTTGAGAGAGAGGGAGGGGGAGCGCGAGGAGGAGCAGAGAGAGAGGGATCAGGAATGCCTGTTACAATATAAAGCAATGCCAAGACTGTATTTAGTTTGTAAAATCAGAAGAGAAAATACAAAACAAAAACTGAGGATAATTCTTTTGCAAAAGTTTAACTTAAAAAAACCCATGTTTAAACCACATTCTGTTATTTTAGTTCTCTTTTTTACTCAAAAATTCCACCCCCGGTTTTTATTTTACAAATTTAGCCATGTGAGCAATGATATATTTTTTTTAAAGATTTTATTTATTTATTTGACAGAGAGAGACATAGCGAGAGAGGGAACACAAGCAGGGGGAGTAGGAGAGGGAGAAGCAGGCTTCCCCACGGTGCAGGGAGCCCGATGTGGGACTCGATCCCAGGACCCCGGGATCATGACCTGAGCCGAAGGCAGACGCTTAATGGGCTGAGCCACCCAGGCGCCCCAAGCAATGATTTATTAATCCCATTTTCATTATATCATTGTTTGTACTAGTAGAAGAGGGGAAATGCAATAGCTATCCATTGCTAGAAGGCCATTTAAATAAATTATGGTAAATTTAACAAATGAAATAGTGTGCAGTCCTTAGGGAAAATAATAAAGGTGCTCTATATGTATCGATATAGAGAAACCTCACTGTACAGCCAAGGGAGACAATTAGGAGTAGAGCAGTGTATGATGTGCTATTAATTGTGTGGAAAAATATACCCCTTATATTTGTAAATACATAAAACATCTCTGGAATAATACAGAAAAACCTAGTAAATGTAATTGTGTCCAAGGGGGGTTGGGACAGGAAAGGAAGGGAAAGTTATTTTAAACTATTTATCCTTGTGCATCTTTGAAATTAAATGTAATTTGCTGTATGACCTATTAAAAAAACATAATTAACAAAGAAAATAGATCAGCTGATCTAGATTTTACCATTTCATCCACATCTTTATTCTAATTGATTTCTTCTCAAAGTTACTGCTTGTTAAGGAACACTGGTTCTTACAACTCATGCATTTACTCATCTCTCTGCTGAAAATAATTATTTTCTTATCCATTTTTCTAGCTATAGCCTATCCTTCTTATGTGTCACCTCCTCCAGGAAGGAGAGACAATGCCCTACTATCTGATACCTTGACTCTGGGTCTATTGTCTAATTGACTTCTCACATTATAGCAGCGTTCATCCGACTACAAATGCCTATTTGCTTGTTTGCGCCCACCGTTAGACTTTCCAGCTTCTTGGTGGCAGAATAACAATGTCTTATTCATGGCTGTGTCTCTAGATCTTACTATAGTTCTAGCATAGTAATGGTCTCTTCAAGTATACTTTTTGACAAATTGAAAGAATGGCTAGATCATACCCACACCCACACTTCACCACAGTTAGTAAGCCAGGATACCAAGTGCCAAGCTCCTAAGCCTGGGTAAGACCTTAACCACCAGCAGTGTAATATACCATAGCATGTTCAATGGATAATAATTAACAAGGCATTTGATTTTAGTTAAATTTACCTGAATGCACAAGTGTGTACACTTGTGAAAATATGAAGCGGGCCAATTGCAAACGCAAGTGAAACTCCAGGCAAAGACTGGAACCATCCACACTGAAATGATTTCAAGTTATATAAATTGAAAAAATTACCAAGGATGCCTGTGAAGAAAAACAATGCAAGCCTGAAGACAACTTTTGAGGAAACCCCAAATTGAGAAAGTGAAGGGAAAAGGAGAGCCATTAAACAGAAAAGGTGATGATGACTCACAGACCTGTACCCCTGAAACAAATAATACATCATGTGTTAATAAAAAAAATTAAAAATAAATAAATAAATAAACAAAAAAAGTGAGGAAGCCAAAGAGAAACACTTGTACCAAACCAAAGACAAGAAACATAAGACCCAATAGAACTCCATTGCACTCAACAACTAGAAAGCCATTCTATTCGCTTATGGATTATTGTCTAAACCCTGCTTATTTTGGAATAGAATTTGAATAAATCTTATATATATGTATATGTGTATATGTATATAAGATATATATATGTACATAGTAATGGATAAACTTCCAAAACCAATTTGAGAAACAGAGTAGATGGGTTATGAAACTTAGGTTTTAAGAAATAGTCGCAAAAAATAAAAAAGAAATAGTCACTTAATATCTACCACCTCCTCCAGTAGTTTGAGCACAAAAGAAAGAAACAAAAAACCACCAGAGAGTAGGACTGATTGATTGATGCTACGGCCCTTATGGGAGATGGTGGACATAAAGCTGATGTTCTGAAGAAGGAAAATCACTGCCTTAGGAACAGGGGCGAGGAGGGAAGAAAACACCTACACAAAGTATATATGGGGATGGAGAAGAGAATATGGAAGGAGGACTCATGCCTGCCTGTCGGGTTTTATGTCTGGAAAATTGATGATAGCATCTTCTGTAGCGTGAGGTTGGGAATCGGGGAAATGGTTCTGTGATGTAGAGGAAGTTTATAATAGTCATAACTCAGAGACTGTTTGATTAATCAGGAAATCCTTAAAAGGAATTTGTAGTATGAAGCGCAAATAGTTCAGCTCAAGTAATTCAGACTCTGATTTAGAAATGGGACAGGCTGATTTGACCCCGTGATTTTTAGAAACCATGTAATACAGTTAAGAAAAAATGGAGGAACCAAAACATTAAGGTTATGAGAAGTTATGCAAAGCTTCTGTCTTGAGGTTTGGTAAAAAAACAAATCAAAGAGGTGTAAAATACATACTACATCTGGGGATGAATGCTGTTGATTTTAAATTCTTGAAGTTAAATAACTTTATTTTATTTTTGTGCTTATGGTATCATTCCAGTGTCTTCAACCCAGATTTTGAAAACAAGTGTTTTTAAACCACAAGAGGGTCCAGAACCTGCATTTATTCTAGAGAGAAGAAATGAAGCTAACCATCAAGGAGAACAACAGGAATCTAATCAGCAAGGAGGTAGCAATACACAAGGAAAACAAGCAACATTTAACCTGCAAGGACAACCAGGGTATTCTAACCAGCCAGGGAAACCAGGGAATTTTAATCAGCAAGGAAGGCCAGGAGTTCTCAATCAGTCTGGGAGTCTGCAAGGGAATTCAGGAGACTCTAATCCAAAAGGGAATGCTGAAGCTTCTAATGAACAAGGAAAACTGGGATCTTCTAGCAGCAAGGGAAACCGGGATCATCTGGCCAGCAAGGGCATCCAGGGTCATCCAGCCAGCAAGGGAAGCCAGGATCATCTGGCCAGCAAGGGCATCCAGGGTCATCCAGCCAGCAAGGGCGTCCAGGGTCATCCAGCCAGCAAGGGCATCCAGGGTCATCCGGCCAGCAAGGGAAGCCAGGATCATCTGGCCAGCAAGGGGGTCCAGGGTCTTCCAGCCAGCAAGGGAAGCCAGGGTCATCTAGTCAGCAAGGGGGTTCAGGGTCATCTGGCCAGCAAAGAAGACCAGGATGGTCTAGCCAACAAGGGAAATCAAGATCTTTCTTTCAAGAAGAAAGAAAAAATGTAGGCAACCCTTTGAATGCCAATATAACGGAGATTCAGGTTAGTGTTCATTTCTTTTTTTCCCTCTCTTAACTTAGCCATTCTATTTTCCAAGACTTGAAATAGTTAACAAAATATACTGTACTAATGACAGATACTTTGTGGTGATAGTGATTCAACAAAATGAGGAGGAATCTGGAGGAGGTGGTCATTTTCATATACACCTATGATCATTAATGAGCCATGCTCTTCCATTCCATTTCTCATTCCCTTCTATTGTCTTCCACTCCAACCTTTCTACCTATACTGGACTAGGTCAGACCTCTGTGAACTGAGTCCCCATCCCCACCAGATTTGACGTTCATGCCCATCTCCATCCCATCCCTAATCTACAAGCCACTGAAGTGGTATTTCTAAATCACAAATCTCATCTGTTCTATCACTGCCCTGCTGGAAATTCTTCAGCGACACCTTACTGCCTAGAAGATAAGACCCAAACTCCTGAGCATGTAGGATTTTTTAATGACTGGACCCCATGTGCATGATTGGATATGATTGGACATTTCATGTCACTCTTGGTCATACATCATCCACGTTGTACAGAATCCTTTGATGTTCCACAAATGTATTCCAAATACCGATGATATCCTTTCTCACAGAATGTACCATATTGCTTTGTAATTGATTGTCTGTATGTTCAATTGGAATGTGAACTCCTCTAAAGAAAGTACCATTTCTTTTTAAATCTGTGTCCCCAGATTCTAGAACAAGACAGGCATATAATAGGTTCTCTTGAACTGCTTTTCAGATGAGTGAATAGATGATGTTTGGGAGACATCACTGCAAACAGCTGCACATCCATGACCCCTTTGTTCATCTTCTTCATCCTACGAACACTAAGCCTCCTGTTGAAGATCCTCCCAATTTCATTTAGTGTCTCTGTTCTCGTCTGCTGTCAGAGCTCCTTTCTGTTCACAGGCTTCTGTCATTCTGTAACTTCATTCTAAGCCAGTGCCTCGGGTAGTACTTAACTCCACACAATCCTACTTCCTGCCTCATTTTCTTTCATGGGACAAGAAAAAAGAAAGATTCAATAAATTAGGACCATATGTGGAGTGCCTGTGTGTCAATCGGTTAAGTGTCTGACTCTTTATTTCGGCTCGGGTCATGATCACAGGGTCTGTGAGATGGAGCCCCAAGTGGGACTCCACACCCAGCGGGGAGTCTGTTTGAGATTCTCTCCCTCTGCCCCTCCCCACACTCTCATGCACGCTCTTTCTCTCTCTCAAATAAATAAATAAATAAATAAATAGATAGATAAATAAATAAATAAATCTGAAAAAAAAATACGACCACATATGTTATTTGCCAGTATGACTTTTCCATAATTATTATTTTCTCAGGCAAGGGAAGGCTTGCCTACAAAGAATTAAAGTGGAGGCAGTCTGATGTGTAGTAAGAGCAGGGGCTCTGGAGTCACATAATTCAGGGTTTGCCCCCCAGCCTGGGTATTTCATCCATATCTGGTCTGGGGCTTGTCACTTAAATATACTATATGCTTGTGATTATACAATAGAGCAAAATTACTCTTTTTTCAGTATTGTTGTGTAGTTTAAGTTAAAATAAAAGGATTAATAAAACGATTGGTTTAGTGCAATGCTTAATCAACAATTAATTAGCAATAACCCTTGCTTTAATTACAATTTCAGAATTGAATTGAGTCCCTTTATTCGCCTATTGGTCTTTCACATTACTGCAGACTGGCAAAACCAGCAGCAAGAACCCAACTGGAAATACAAAATGTCCATCTATCTACAAGCCAGTCTGTGGTTCTGATGGAAAAACCTATGGGAACCACTGTGTATTCAATGAAGCCAAAAGGTAAGATGACTCTTTGTGTCTTTGTATCAGGAAGTATTATTCTGATCCAAAGGGAGTAAAAACATTTTTCTGTGTCTCTAGTTCTCTCTCAATGGTGCCTGGGGTGTTTGTCCAAAGGAAACATGAAAGGTACTTAACCCTTAAACAGTAAATTCAGGCATTTTCTGAGAGAATGTGATACATTCAGCTTTTGAAGTAGAAATAAATTTGTTATTGAGTCATTCATTTACCAAATACTTATTAAGCTTCCACTATATACCAGGCATTGCTCATGTGGAGGTAAGGTGGTGAACAAAACACACAGAATTGTTTCCTATTTCCTGCTTCCATGGAGCTTTTCTTCTTGCAGTTGAAGACAGCAAACAAAATGTATCAGAGGATAAATAGGACTACGAATCCCATAGATTACTTAATCTTGACTATTAAAATGTATTTTAAATTTAAATAACAGTATTAGAGAATGGATTTGGTGAGCAGGCAAACATTTAAGAGTTGCACGCTTGTCCATCCACATGAAATACGATGATTATAAGGCTGCTTAAAATGAGAACATGTGGCTAAGAAAGAGTTACATGTCTCAGCTTTCAAAATTAATGAAGGTTCAGCTATAAAGATAGTAATGAGGTAAAAATTATACCTCTCATTTTTGATAGTTGAAATACGTATTAAAGGCTCAAAAAATCATTCCTGCAGAAATAAATAAATGTTAAAGGTAAGTGGGCCCTATAGCCATAAAAGTTAGAGCAGGAAGAAACATGAGACACCTGTTCTCTCATTTTATACATGAGACACCTAGCCCAGGGTCAAGGAGGGACTGGCACAAAGTCACAATTTCTCAAAGCACTCAGTGTGAAACAGGCAAGCCAAAGCTTAGACCTGCTCATTCCCATGTGAATTTTAAATAATCTCATTCTCTCTGTTTGTTGGTGCCACAATTTCTTGATCCTTAATTTCTTTCGTTAACCTGTTTTCAGGATAAGTAATGGGAAACTGAATCTGAACCATGAAGGGAAATGCTAAGCATTGACAGCAACCAAATTACCTGGAACCTCAAAATCTACTTTCATTTTTGTAAGCACTGGATTTCCTCGGGCATTCCACTGAGGTCAGCAAGAGTCTTACCGATATGATGGATCCTACATTATTTTCAAGTTTGTTCCACTACAAATAAAGTCTGTTCCAGAGTTGCTTCTGATTTCTGGGATCATTTATTTTCTAGACTTTCCCAAACTAATGGATATAGGACACAGATTGGTTTTTCCCTGACACAGGGGATTAGGGTGAGAAAAATAGGTGAAAATTTTTAAAAAATAATAATAAGTTTTACTTTTAGTTCACTGTTTATGAACACTTCAAAAAATTAATGGCATTGATTTTCAAGGGATAAGATAGAAATTTTAGCCAAAGAGTTCCCTTAGAAAAGGAATGGTCCAGGATTAGGTAAATATATTTAGCTGCCTAGATTATATCACCCCTGACTTATTTATGAATGGTACTGTCTTTCCCATGATATCACTACTCCCTGATTAAGTCTCTTGAGGATAGCTGAAATTACAGATATACTAGAAAAAATCTCAAAGATTGGAAGAGACTTCAGTGCAATCCATTGTTCTACATTATCCCTATCACCATTGTCCTGACGAGCCCCAGTCCCTAGACTGCCACCTGAAGATTACCTTGTACAGTATCAACTCTACCACTTCCAGGCAACTGAAGCTTTATATTTCTCAGGGCTGCTTAATGAGAGCTATCTGGGAGTGAATGACAGTCCAGGCTGGGTAGGGTAAAGAGGCAACCCGTTGTACAAGGCCTAGAGTCTTGGCACAGCTGATGAGACGTGAATGAACCAGCTCCATAAAAGTTTACCTCCCAGTAAGAGGACATAGGAAGATAAGGTCAGAAAGACACAGGGTAGAGAAGGGAAGGAGAATAGGAAAAGTCCTTCTTTACCATATGTAGAAGAAAGGGAACAAAAAATTTTAGGCAAATAAATGATATGAACAAAGGCCTTGATCCATACGGGGCATGGGTTATATGATACGGTACGTTTTTTCTGGGATCTGATGATGCTTATAGAAGCACCAGAAAATTCAGGCCAGGGCCAGTTGTATGACCAATTTTAATGATATTTAGATAATTTTTATTTCCTTCTAGAGGCCATGGAAAAAATTAGATCATTCTGAGCAGGAGGGAAATGAGTAAATTCCCATTAATAAATATGCTTAAATTAATTAATACTTATGTGACACTAGAAGCATCATACAGTGTTTCAAAAGAATAAAGTGATTTACATAAAATGACATTAAAATAAGCTCAGCAGATATTAATTAAATAAAGCTTGTTGCAGAGCAGTTTATAAAATGTTCCTATTAAATACAAAAGCTCTGGTTTAGAACAGTGGGAAATGGTTGGAATGAAGTCCCAGAGGTAATTCTACATCCCTAGTTCTGTTACCCCCAACTGGAGCTGCACATTTATCTTAGTTACTTCTAAAAATGCTCCCCCAGAAAAGGTACGAATGCCCAGGGTCTGATGTAGAACAATTGAATCACCATCTCAGGGAAGGAAACCAGATATTATTATAAAGCTCCTCAGGTGATTCTCATATCTAGCAATTGTTTCAAATACTGAGGTTCTGGCCATATGTAGCGATTACAGATTTTAGAATTCTTGTTTTCTTGCCCTAGTTTTTTGGAACCTATACAACTCCCTTGCTTGGACAGATTGTACATAGCTTATCTATTATAAGACCTATAACTAACTACACATTATTTTCTCCCCTCCCCATTCATTTGTGCCTATCAGATCAAATGGTCCCCTACTCTATGCCCATGAGTAGTTTTGTTGCCATCTGTAGAAGGCAAGTTCCCAGAATCTGGGCAGGAGAAAGATGCTCCAGTGCCTTATCTTTAGTATTTCTCTTACATCTAGTTTCTTACACAAAGATCTTTAGAGTAGATTTCTCAACATAGTATGGCTAGCTGAGGTGGCAAGAGTGAACAAGACAATCACAGTCATCCTTTGCCCTTTCTTCTTCCTGAAGGGGCAATCTGTGGTAGGTTTTGGTGGCTTTTGTGTATGAGATGGCTTTCCTTATCAACAAATTATGGAAAGAGCCCAAATGTCCATCAACGGATGAATGGAGAAAGAAGTTGTAGTATATATATACAATGGAATATTACTCAGCCATCAAAAAGAATGAAATCATGCCATTTGCAACAACGTGGATGGATCCAGTGTATTAAGCTAAGTGAAATCAGCCAGTCAGAAAAAGACAAATACCATATGATTTTATTCATATGTGGAATTTAAGAAACAAAACAAATGAACATAGGGGGAAAAAGAAGGGGGGGTAGGCAAACCATGAAAGAGACTCTTAACTATAGAGAACAAACTGAGGGTTACTGGAAGGGAGGTGGGTGGCAGATGGGCTAAATGGGTGATGGGGTTAAGGAGGGCACTTATGATGAGCACTGGGTGTTATATGTAAGTGATGAATCAGGAAAATCTACTCTTTGATCATTGCCTGAGACATCATCTCCCCCCCCACACCCTCCTTAGGAGAGAGAAAGAGGAAGTGCATACTGGGAGGGGCAGAGGAAGAAAGAGGGAGAATCCCAAGCAAGCTCCAAGCTCAAAGCAGAGCCCTGATATCATGACCTGAACCAGAAATCAAGAGCCAGATTCTTAACCAAGGGAGCCTCCCAGGTGCCCCCAAGACATCTTTTAAAGAATGGAATATGGTACCAAATCCCTTTGGTTTCTTCTGAAACAGGGGTGAACTGGAAGAATTCAGTCTTTCATAAAATACTGATAAATGTGAACTTCTCTTATTCTCTTTTCAATAGTATGAAGTTTAAAACACACACACACACACACACACACACATTATTCAGTGACCCCTGGGGAAGTTCATGTACCAGTCTCAGTTGGTGTTTTACACGGTTAGGCAAAATCCAGGTAACTTGCTGTTATTGCCCAAAATGGCGGATTTCTTTGCCTACAATTTAAGGAGCAGCGGCACTGGGGAGACCGCAAACTGCTCTTCTCATTTTTTCCCTTCCTTCTCCCTTAGTATCTCTATTATTTTAAAGATACTGTCTTCTCCTTCTTATCTTCTCTCTTAGGCAAGTTGAATAATATATTCATTTTTTTTCTTCATGAAACTTTCAACTCACACATGTAACATCCCTTGTGCTGGGTAATTTAAAAAACAGAAAGACATGTGGCCAGCTGGGATTCACAGGCCGCCTCTCCTGCTCTTAATCTCTGCTTATGAGAACATACAAGAGAAGTCTACAGTGGGAGACATGCAGGGCTCCCCAGTAATTTCAACTCTAGACTTCGGTTTCCTTTTTCCTCAAATGTCCTGCATCAGAAGAACAGATCTGCCCCAGAAGCCTCTGATGGTGTCTATGTCAATAATTCAAAGAGTAATTCAAAGGGTTCCTCTAAGAATAATATTCACTTAACTAGAATAATGGAGCACTTTCTGCACTCACCAGATTTTGTATTCTTCCATTAAACTGGAGTCTGAGTGCTAGCTTTCCCCACAGCTGGTAAAAGGTAAGTTACATCAGGGTGGCAAAGATAAGCCTAACACCCAACTGTGAATGCAAACTGCCTTAATATTTTATCCCCCACATCTAAGACACAGGAATTGTTACTCCCACATTTAAAATAAAGAAGATGTATATTAGACTATCGAAACATTGTGTCAAGATCACTCAGTGGTAGATGAGAATTGAAATCGAGTCTTTCTATTGCCAAAACTCCAGAAATCAGACTGTGAAGGAGGTTAGTTAATTAGGGAGACAATGAGTGATTAAATCTTACCCTTTTCAAAGCCTCCAATGTCACCTACTTATTTAACTTAAGACATTGACCCATGTGGTCTCCATCTCATTTCTGTGAGTCTTCTTTATTTTTTTTCCAGGTTTATTGAGATGGAATTGACATATAACATTCTGTAAATTACAGCTGTACAACGTGATGACTGGATACACATTTATATCGAGAAAGGATTAACACAGTGAGTTGGTCTCTCCCGTGCCTACTACACACATCCTATCCTTTAGGCTACGTTCCAAAGCTGGCTACGCTGATACTCATCTGGGAGTTTTTCAAACATACCATTACCCAGGCTTCATGTACAAACAATTGATTCCCAATCTTGGTGGTGAGAGCAAACATGGACTAAAGGTCTCCAGCTGATATCAATTCCTGGCTGGGAATTTGCACTATAGTTTTACAAGAGGCTCCCAGTGGGAGAAACTGGCTCGAGGAGGCAGAAGAGCTCTGTGTCATTTCTTACACCTGTATCGAACCTATAATTACCTCAGAAAACAAAGTTGAAATTTCAACTGTAAGGAGAGTTTCAATCTAAAACAATTCTCCGATTGAGTCTCTGTGCTCTCATGTTGCAAAATGCTAAGGGTCTTGGCCTGTATCTAATCACACTTCACAAAACTGCTCTTCTTGGCTGGCTTTGATTCTCTCGTCCTTTCCAACTGAATAGCTTGGAAAGCTTACATATATTTTCTCTATCTTAGGATCTATAGTTACTCTGATTACCCTTTCCCATCTCATACCTCTGTACTCATTAGATCAAATTGTCCCAAGCCTCCCCCTGAGAGAACAACCAGGATGTCTTTACGACACAGCACACGCTGCTACGGATCATCTGTTTGGCGCCATCAGGCTCCTCACCAATAGGCCAGTAAAGGAGGTGCCTCTGCTGGGGGGAGTGACTGAGAAAGAGAGACAAGCAAAATAGACACAGTCAGTCCCTAGAGCTGAAGACCTCACTCTCTCCACTGCCTTCTCTGTCTCAGGTCAGTGAGGAGGACACCCACAAATGTAGCCCTGCTCAGAGCATGGCTGTGAGGACTGCTCCAGGTCACTCCCTCTAGAAATGACTGTTTCTATGTTCTGTGGAAAAACTGGGACCCCAAAGTGCCTATTTCCTTCAAGGCAGCCAGGCTCCTCGTGGCTGTGCCAAGCCTGGAGGAATGAGCAGC